CAGTTACACACTTCTGGAAACCTTCTTCTTGAGCTAGCGTTGTCTTCTTTAACCCTACTGCAGTTCTGTTTACAATCATACTGCATGTGTGATTTTGTTACATGTTATTTTACGTGGCTTACAGTTTCTCGTGTGATTCTAGGTTCTAAAATGTCTCCATGGTCTCCTGTTATCATACGGTACAAATGGAGTGCAAAGTTTTACGCTTGGCACATAGAGCAATTCATCTCAAAATTACATGTTATTTGCTTAATTTGGTATTTCTATTTACACTAACTCTAAATACCCACTTGGATCTTATGATCAGCTTCCAATTTATTTCTGCTGTAACATCCAGACAGTTGCTATTTATGCCCTCCTAGTTTTTCCAGTGTGTTCATTCTGGCGAGCACATCCATCTCACCACAGCTGCATTGTGGATTCACATTTCCAGAATAATACAAGCGTTAAAAATATTTTAAGTCGCAACATTTTGAAGGTCAGGTTTGTGGACATGCTACTATTTGGGAAAAAATGGCTTTACCATTTTTTTTCTAAAGTTTGCACTTAGAAATAATTATCAGCCATATCCCTCACAGCTTTCCGCTAGGATTTTAAACAGAGGTCCAAACGTACAGATAGAAGGCTGAACTAGGAGAGGAACTTGAACATCAGAGGTCTCAGCCTTTAGGCACCTCCATCATTAAGGGAACCTGGAGTGGCTCCAGGCAGACAAGACACCCAAACACCATCTGGTCTGTTTGTATGTTTATGAACGGGGCTGGGACCAACCAGTCCCAACCCTGCTACCTGTATGCTGCCTATGGAGAGAAAAATGTGTTGTTTTTGCTGTGGGAGAAAGCTGGATGTAACAAGCAGCAGCAGCTGCTGAGGAACAGGGCTGGAGGCAGCCCACGCTGGCTGCACTGAGGGCTCGCTCATCCTGTTCTCCTCCACTTAACTCTGCATTCTGGCTTCTCCCAGCTTCTTTTGAGGCAAGACAACTCCAGCCCATCTACTTGGGATGGGAGATGTCAGTTTTGCCTATGCGGTTGGGATGGCAGCTGTACCTTTGAGACAAGTACACAGACTCTTCTTCTGCTTTGCATAAGGAGAACTAAGCTTCTGAGAGAAGGATCCACAAAGGAAACATGTTCAGGTGCACAGAAACAGAAGAGAGATTCACCCTTGCAGCTTAGATAAGCGCTCTTATTATTAAGGTAGCAAAGGAAAAGGAAGCATCCACGCGTTCATCCAAGCTTGTTGAAACATTAGGAGAACAAAGACAGAGAGCAAAAGCAGCTTTAGAATTCTGTTTCAGGAAAGGATGATAAAACTTCTAGGTTAGTCTCTTAAAAAAAAGAAAGAAAGTAAAAAAAAAAAAAAAGAAAATACTTCCAAAATAGCAAACCCCATAGGTAACACTTTCAAAAGAGGACAGAGGGATTTAGGAGCACGGTTCTTGCTAAAATTAGTGGGAGCTGCACACTTGTTTTCCCTCGGGGCTTTGAAATCTCAGCCTACAACGCTCCTTATTAGTCTTCTCCCTCATCAGGCACGTAACATGGAAAATACTTCCCTGTGACTTAAAACACAAGTAGTTGTCTGTCCAGAACTACTGGAAAACACGCCAAGTTGTCTTAAGTGCTAGGTAAGCCATGTGGTACATGATAACTCATTTAAGAACAACTGAAAGACGTGTAAAGCCTTGTAAAGAAAATTAGGGGGCACAAGCGTTAGAGTTTTACGTGTGCATACAAAAACGCAGGATGTTCCCAGAGCTTTGTAAAACGAAAGAGCAAAGAAGGCCAAAGTCTTTAACCATCTGAAACAATCTAATCATCCTCTGGCAATGGACTGTTTGGGGTGACTGTGATAACTGAAAATGGGAGTGATTAAATGAAGTCAGGCTGATAAATCTCCTGAGTACTGCTAACTTATTTGTAGCACCACCGAAGATGAGCAGCATGACTGGTGCCTCGAGTGTAAAAGCTATGAAGAGGGAAGTAACTGGAAGGCTGCCATTCCAAAGCCGTGGGTATGCATTCAAATATAATCAATGCAAATTTTACAAGCATAAATTTGCATCAAGATAAAAATTAATCCTTCTTTTGGCTGCCCTGTCTATGAGAGAGCATAGGAATAAACTGTAGTAAGTTTGTAAGCGACTGCGTATCAACCATGACTTTAAGATAGGAAGTGAAAGTAAAAAACTGTTCTCTCCCACGTGCAGCTTTCTCACTGGAGAACAACAGCGAAGACAAACTGGTTGCCTCATGAAACAAACAAAAAATGGCAGAACAAAGGAGGAATGGTTTTCAGTAGGAAGACCCCTGACAAAAGGTGGCCCAATTCCAGTAGCTACTGCTAAGCATAGGCTGATTGTTTAAGAATCACAGCTCAGCCCAGTTCTGTAGTAACTTAAAAAGTGGATTCTGATGATAACATATCCCCAAGTTATTTAGTATTTCATAGTTAAAATTATGGTATGTTCTGTCCATAAAGTCTGACTGGAAGGCAGTGTGGGGTGTAAGTAAGTAGGTCCTTAAATCCCACAGTTTCATATTATTGCTTTCAGGACATTTTAAGATGCCTTGAGGCAGTGACCCAGGTGAAAACTACAAGAGCAATTCTCGTTTGAGCTGACATAAGAATGAATAAATTGCCTCTGAAAGAGTAGGTAAAAGACTTTTGACACAGATAGACAAAGGGAATCATAGCAAGGATGCACTATGTAGAAGAAATTCTAGGAACAACTGACTAGAAGATAAGCATCTAAACAGAGAAAAGCTCCAGCTATTCAAGAAACTGTTACCTCCATCTCTGGGGGTAAACACCATAGATTATAGATTCAGTGGCAGTCATTTGCCCTTCTTTAATGCATCTTGCTGCTTGAAGTCCCCTCACAACACCTGGCTGAAATAAAGCAGACAAAGTGCTGAGTTCCCTACCTGTCTGAGGTCTGTGCTTCCTATCTGCGTTGTTTTTGTTAACCATCTTTCTCCAAAAACAGGAGAACACACAGTTTTGAAGACTAGTATCAAGCCATGGAAACCTTGACCTGAAATGAGGACACGGATGCCTCTCAGAAATAACTATTCTATTCCTGGTAGGCTTTGCAATGACAACAAAAACAAGTTGAAGTCAACTAGTAGATCAGAATAATTTAACATGGTTACTCTATTTTTAATTCAATAATAGGAAATGATCAACTAATTTAGCGTAGTCTCTATAATCAAGACTGTTTTTAAACCTAAAAGGAAAAAGAAAAAAATTGCCAGGTTTTGCTAGGTCTGTTTGCAAAGGCATTTTTTATTAACAGAGCTAAAAATGCTGCAGTGGAGAATTACCACTGTCTGCACTGGGCTGAGCGAGTTATCGTGCTACTCTCAAAAATAAATAAATAAAAATAAATAAACAAACCCAGCAATGACAAAAAAATACCCCTCTGGCAAGCATCCCCACAGAATAGTTTTTAGACCCTTTAGTCATTACTGCGGAGATCGAGGACCAGTTACTGCAGTTTTCTTAAAGGTCTCTAAAAGCCTCACTGACCGATGCTGATATCCATGCCTGGCTTTAATAAGGATCTTAGGTGTTAGACAACAGCCAGGCTCAAGTTCTTCACTGTATTTAATCCTCTTGTCTTCTTCTTGACAATGGTAAATAAAGGCTCCACCGAGTTGTCACATGGACAAATTGACTCTTCAAAACACAGGAGTGTCCAGTTACAAAGCCAATGAAATACTTAAGCATTCATTTAACTGTAATCAGTTCAGCCTACTGATTTCAGCAAGATCTTTGGCAGAACTGTACCTTAAACAATAACACCATCCCTGTTTCTGACCCAGGAAAAGCACCAATGCACATGTTCAACACTGCATGTAAGCAAAAAGCCCCCTAGCCCGAGGTTCAGCAAAAGACTTTTATAGCACTGAATATCCATGAGAACAGATGCTTTTTAGCTACCAAGAAGTCATAAAAATACAACACAGACAAGACATCATACGCAGTTACCAACTCAATGAGCTGTTCTCATTTGCAAATATTCCAAAAGGAAAATGGATACATCTGGCTTACCTCAGGCTGTTCTCTCCTTGCTTACATTCAGACAGAAACCAAATTAAGGCAGCACTACAGCTGTTCATTAGGACCTCACAGCTCTTCTACCATGTCAGGTTTCCCTGTAAGCCAACAACTCCTGTGAACTAGCTGCAAAAAAAGGCTCTACAGCTGATCTCAATTTGAGGATAAAACTGAACTGCAGGTGTGTAATGGAAACCTTTGGAGCAACACAAGGTTTTTTGTTAGAACCTCTTCAAGGTATGGCTCTTGCAAAAAGCTTGAAGGCACCTCTTTGGTTGTCTTAAGACTAGATAGGCTCTACTTGCACCCTTCTCCAGCAATGTATGCTCAACCCGTTCCTAAAGGCTTCTATTTCCTTATCTACTCTAGGCAGTATGGTGTTTCGTTATCCCTCTTCTTTGAATATCTTAGATATTTCAAGTGGCCCTCCCATGCTTTAGTAGGTTATTTAAATAGAAATAAAATGCTACTGAATAAAAGCCTATTTAAAACCTGTGGTAGATATGGAGAATTCCTTCCTTCCTTCTTTACATTCTATGTACAGTTGAAAACTTTATCACATCTTCCCGTTGTTCTAACTTTTCCAGGCTAAACAGACCAAATTCTTTTCCATTTTCTTCTCAGAGAGTGTTTTCTACGTCTCTGTCTATTGGGAATCCTGGGATCCCCATATTTCAACTATTTAGTTGTACTCCAGTGGCTAAAATAGCAATTTCTCTGAATATAAAGACAGGGCCCTTTGAAAGAACTATTTCTATAACAATATGCAAACTACAGCTATAGTAAACTACTGTACAACAGTCCTCCACGTGTTGGATTTAGGAGTGAGACAAACTTTTGCAACCTTCCAAATTCTGTGTGAAAAATCTGTTGTTTGTTCCACTGCACTTAGCGTCACAGTTAGAGGGAAAAGAACAGAGGCAGAAGGCTTTGGCTAAATAAGAATGATATATCAAAACACCCAATATTTTAATGAAAGAAACTGAATATCCACACATTTGCACTTCTGTACAATTTGGTGATATATATATATATATATATATAATTTTAAGCTGTTTACAAATAACATTTAATGCTTCAAATATTACATAATGTTGATATTATATTTCTAGCAGAAATAAATATATTGCACTTAAAAAGAAACTTTTCGTTAGATGTTGCTTCATAGTTTATGTCCATAACTTCTTTTTCCATAAAAAGATTTCCCCCTCCCCACCCCGTACACACAAACACACACTTCAGTACATGGTGAATGTGCTCACGCAACGCATCATAAACAACAAAGTCAACACAGCAAACAGCAGAACTGTGGTACATTCTGTTAAAGAGATTACATCCAGTTTTTACCTTCCTTACTTTTCAAACAAATCTTTCCTCATGTTTCTGAAGGTACAATTGGAAAAAAAAAAAAACAAACAAGAAGAAAAAAAAAAAGTTGTTTAAATGTGCTAAAGGTAAAATACAGCAAACTGTATTTTTTGTCCTTAAAGTATTATAAGAAGTTAATTCAAAGTTTATTTAAATCGCTGCTTAGTTTCTTTTAGGAAGATAAAGGAAAGGAAGTTGTTATGTTATAAACTAAAGACTATATTTGGGGACAGTTTATCACAGAGTCAGTACATAAACCCTCTGGCCAGCAAGTAAATAGTACAGAAACCACATCTGCAGCAGAAAGCACTCTGTAAGGAACGGTGAGAAAAACATCTCAGCAAAATGAAACACTATCTTGCAGTGAGTGAACATCAGCCCTCTGCAGATGATGAGCATAAAGCTCTGAGGCCAAGACTTCCTTCCAGATAAGGAGCCCAAAACGTTACGCTGATCTCACCGTCTCTCTACCCCTTATCCAGGAAGGAATTACCACAGCTTCATTACCTTCCAGTTTTGGAAAGCTCCCCATGTTTTTGCAATATTCTTCATTGATATTTCTGTTTCTTTATGGCATCCACGTGCATACAGAGGATGTAGCATATAATCAAGTTGCCAGCCCAAGCCTTTTTCAATTCAGAAGAGATTCGTTTTCAAACACCGATTAATGTTTGTTGGATGCTGGAAGCTGCACCACCTTCACACGAATACCTGTTTGTAATGTGTCACAACCTTCAGGTGCACACTGCATGTGTGTATCCTTTATCCAAGAATGAAGCCTTCTGGGGAAAATTTTTCCATTGCATTTTTCAGGCTGCACTACGATGATGTTAGGTATCATACAGCACACTGCAGCTGAGCTCGTAAAGAAGCATTTCCATTAAAAACTGCACCTTTATCCACTTAGTGTGTGCCTGTTTGCCTGTTTCTATCTGGAGAGTACCCTGAAACCAGCAGGACTGAATTTTTATCTTTTAGAGTTCCTCGGGCCACGTAAACCAGCACCACAAAACAAACAGCCAAATTTCTAGCTCCAAAACTAGAAGAAAAAAAAATATGTATAGAACATGTTTATGTCAGCTCTGTTAGTCTTGGGGTGCTTTTGTTGGATAAAAGACCTAAGGCTGTTAACTGTCTTTGGATAAAAGGGTAATCCAGAAAACACCCAAAAGTACTTTTAACACTTTGGAAGGTAATCTTATCATGCTTTATGAAAAGCACATTCAGGCATGTTCTCTCCACCCTTCTTCAATAAAACAATAATAAAGAAAAGAACCACTAAGCAGCACCAGTTTGCTCAGCCAAGATAGCTCGTAAAGGTGAAGAGCACTTCTCATGGGATATAAAACATGAATTATATTGGAAAATAAACTCTAGATTACATTTGGCATTCCTAGAACATCTACCAGCAACAGATGTTCTATCCTGAAAGTGATAGAATTGTGACAGCAGTACAGCAATTCCTTCAATAAATTACTGAGTTATTTTGAAAGTAGTGCAATTTGAAGCAAAACTGTTTTCTTCTTTAACCAATTAATGACACATTTACATTCATGTTTTTTTCAGTTATGCACTCAGTGCTGAAGCTGACTGATAGCTGTTTTTCAGTCTGCTCTGCAAAGTTCCTGTATTGCTGCTATCATAACCACCATCCATGCAGACAGACTTTTTTTTTAGGAAAGAATGTAAATATGAATGAAATCCTGTCTTGCTTACAGTCAAGAAATTTCTCACTAAAGAGGAGCAGGAATTTCATGGTGGAATCACTCTCCTGCTGCCCACGGAAGGGTGAGAAGAAATTAGGTGGAGAGAAGGTCCTGAGCCTTGACCTGACTGGAAAAATCAGGCTGTGGATTTGACAGATAATTCTGCAGAAATTTTTCTTGGTCATCTCCAAAGTAAACCTCATCACAGAAAATCTGGAAGGTGTTGGCCTTGCCCGGTTTTTATACAGGGGAAGTCTATTGCCATCTTTTTCAGGTATGCAACACATTTTACTTGTACCAAATGAAAGAGAAATGCTTTTCATTATTTTTGTAAATGATGTCAAAATCGGGTTTCATTCCTTCAAGAAGAACCTGGAGCATTTTCTCTGAAGCAGAACCAGGGGAATTTTTACATGCCAAATATTGGTGTTTTTAGAACTGAGATTGGAGAAGGGCTAAAAATTGTACGGTTTGTTTCTCCAAATTTGACTCACAAAGGAAGGACAGGTCAACATGTGGGCAGTCTTTAGATAAATTGAACAGCTTCCCTAAACCAACTTACCTGTTGCAAACTTATTTCTGAAGCCATGAGAAAGCTGCCTTCCTCCTACTTGACCCCTTTCTAGCATGAGTACCAGGATTAAAGCTACTGGTTTGATTTCTGGACCTAACCGTATTCACTGCAGCTTCAGATAAGTTAATGGAGCTGCAAAAGGAAATAGATACGAGAAACAGAACTTCCCCACAGGCTGTAATGAACTTCACCACAGGACCTTCGTACAGCTGTGTGCTTTTGTTTGTTTGTTTGTTTTTTTAAACAGAAGTCAAGCAGCTGAAGAAGAGACATTAAAGTTTCCTTCCAAATCTCCCCTGAAATTTTTATGTCTGTAGAATTGGATATTTACTTAAGGAGGTATTTTCTTGCAGCACTCTTCCAGTATAATCTAGATTTTTTCAGTATCATGCAATTTCATGAAAAATAGTATTATTATGTTAGAACAGGCCATGAGCACGCACAACCTTGCAACGTGCACTTCCCAGATGAATCTATAGCAAAATTTAATGTTTAGATATATCAAGACAATTTAGTCAGTGTCTGATTCTAAGCCACTTAAAAACTGCAGAGGTTGGCTCATGTTTTTACAGACCTCCTTGTAGTAGTGCTAAACCCAGAGACTGCAAATAGAGGTTTGGTTTCACTCACGTGCAGAGCACAAAAGTTGCCGATTTTTCCCAGGTCATTTTTTATTAGCATGCCCAACAGTGAGTAAAGGGAAAATTAGGATGATACAGCAAATGACTAAGGTGATTGTAATGGCCCATTTGAGAGATGTTAAATTCAACTACTGGAAAATACACAGATGGTCCTTATCTTTCAATGTATGCACTGGCCTATAATAGAAGCTGGGAAAAGTCTGGGATGTTGTCACTGCTGTCTGTGACCAAGCTGGTATGATGAGGCACTGGGACAACAACAGAAGCTGGTGACCTGCCCTGCACTTCACTCAGTGGACTGCACTATACTTCTCATTTTATGTCACCAACATCCACTGGTCAAGAGTAGAGGAGAATAGTGCCGAAATGTCTTTCTATCTGTTCCAGCTCTACACTAATCTCTTATTGTGTAAGATTGAATTGCAAGTCCTTTTTTTACTAATAGATGTTACCACTACAACTTGGATGCAACAACACACAGAAAGTCTGTGTTGACTTATTTACAGGCAGAAAACCAGCATCACACCAGTTCCCTTTTCAGCAGTGCAAAGGATTCATGCTAGCTCTCTGCAGAGGTCATTTTTTCCTATGAATCCACGGATCTTCTGTTGCCTCAAACACAACGTAGTAGAAAAAGCAGGCAGTATTTTCAGTGAGAACTCTTCTCACTAACTAAAATAAGGCAGATGTGAATAAAAAAAAAATTATAGGCAAACCTCGTCAATGATATTTTCCCAAGGAAACTGGGACTTGAAAAACTCAAAAGTACAACTCTTGTGTCTTGGCCAAACAGCTTGTCTAGCAACACCTATGACCATACCCAAGAAAACAGAGTAAGTAGAAAGACACTCCAAGATACTGTTATTTTTGTATGAATCTACTGATTATTGATCTAGAGTCTAGATATAGACTGATCTAACCTGAAATACTGCTAAATAATGGTACTCTTTTGCAGCTGGACGTATGGCAAGCACAGCAGCAAACAGTAGCTTTGGCTTAAAAATTTAGTGTCTTGAGTTTCTAAGTTTAAAAGCAACAGATTTTCTAAAACTCAGTGTTTTCCTTCATCATATCTGCTAAATTGCTCCTCCTAGGATATGAGAGAAGCAGAACAGAATGCATCATCACTGCTTCCGGCCTGTAACACAGTTCTTCTCAGAACTGTTAAGTGTTTTGTGAAAGAAACAAAGAAAGATCAAAGAAAGAAATAAATACTTGCTAATGATTTTCTCTATGAGATTATAGTAGCAATTATAAAATACTGCTCTTGGTGAATAAAAGCCAGACTTTTAAAAAGGACAGTGGCCTTTCTCCACTTTGTCCCATTCCTATTCCCATAGCCTAAAACATGCTTAAAGTTACAGGGATACATTTTTCTGTTTAGATGCTCATTAGTCACAAGAAGAGGTGAGGATGAATAAGAGTATTGCCTTTTTCAGAATCCTTCTAGCATACAGAAAAAGACTTATACACAATTAATTTGTACACTGCTGCATAAACATAGTCTCTTTCCACGAGGCTTAACGAACCTTTGGAACAACCTGCACATGACCAGAAATCCTGGGAACTCTGGGATCTGTTTTGACTGTGTTACACATAGGTCTGTGAGCAGCTCCAAGCTGCGTGCTCTCTTCTTGTGATCCCTCAATGGAGGAATCAATCTCCACAAAGCATTTTCTTAGCTGGTTTGAGTTCAGCAGTCTCCCACCGCAGGCCTTTTGAGAAGGTCCCTTATATTTTTTCATACCAAGCTTGCACATTTAAAATCTTATGCTTCTGTCATCTTACATCAGTCATACAAACGGTGTCATGACTGCGGAGGAGTGACGCAGTCCCTGGATGGCTGCATAAGGACCCTGCTGAAAGTAATGGTGGTACCTTGGCATGTGGAAAGAAGGGAAAGTGGGGCCAGTACCTTGCATGGAGCTGGCTATCGCAGAGGGCGTTAGAGGCATTCCCAAGCGGCTGTAGGGAGGCAAGGATCCTTGGATTGGATGAGGAATAGGCGTAGCAATGGATGCAGTGCTGGTACCCAGGGCACTCAAAGACTGGGGATGCTGAAATCCAGGAAAACTGGTTGAAGAGGATACCCAGGAACTGAGGGACAGGTTATCAGATGTTGTAAAAGCTGATCCTGCAAATGAAGAGAAAGAACGCCTGACGTTTGCACTGCAATATACAAAGCTGGTACAAGAGCAAAAAGAGGAAAACAATTTTTCACAGTAAGGCTGAATTATATTTATGAGTTGCCACTGGAAATACTTCCCAAATTCTTCTATCTCTTCACCGCATCTTTCTTTACATAGTAATTTGCCATTTGGTCTCCTTTATCCCTAAACCTTAGACAAACTCCAGTTACAGGAAGCTGGTTGCAGTTGGCTTGAACAGCAAAATCATTTTTACCCATTGGACATTTTTGGTATGAAACACCTTGCAATGGCAGGAACAAACACTGATGCACCTACTGCAACGTGGAATCACCCTGCATCAGATCTCTGAGTTAAATCATGCTTGTGGCTTTTTACAACAGACCTTCAGTAGAACTGATTAAATTCTTCTAAAATCTCAGTCTGGTAAAGCATAAGAAAATATCATTTGCATTACAAGTTATTGGGTTTTGTTTTGTTAGTTTTATTGGCTCTTTTTTTTTTTTCATTTAGCACCAGGAAAGCATGTCAGCATGCTTTCAACAGCATGTCAAGATGCAGATCTTTCCACTCAAATTTAGGTTTTCCAAAAAGCTCTAAAGTGTCAGAACATTCTTCTTATTTTTCCAACTGTGTATAGTGCTGTATGGAACAGCAGCAATGCTGAATTATATTGAGATGCTGTTTTTTAGTACATAAAAATATGATAAACTTATTCCCAAGATAAATATGTACTTTTAATCCAGTGACTGTGGTTTCTTTGATATTTTTTCCATCTGAAGAGTTCCAAAAATTTCTGTTTACACAAGTTTTCCCCCTCTAAAACTTTTTCTCCAAAAGTGGCAGAATCTTATTTATTTTGACAGGTTTTTTTGTTGGTTTTTTTTTGGGGGGGGGAAGGAAAATCAATGGATAGTTTGTGTTGGTAATTATACACAGTCATTTTCAAATAGTCTGATGAAGATATTGCCCCTCACTTCTGCTGTTCTTCTCAGCATCTGGTTATCATCAGATGCCTGGCTTCTAGAGATGGGGGGATAAAACAAAATCCTATAAATACACTCTTAATTTTATTCCTATTCAAACAAAAGTTCAACTTCTGTCCCTTCTGTATTTTATTTCTTGTCCAACCACGTCCATTGAGAAAATGTTTCTTACTTTAAAAATAAATGTACTGGCAATTTTATTTTATTTTTTCCAAAACATAATTTCAAGCCAGTAATGCAAAATGTCCAGAGAAGAATTTTTGCAGTTGTTATTACAGGTATTCGTTTCATAAATCTGGTTTTTAGAAGACAGGTTCATCTGAACAATAAAATAAAGAAATATAAAGACATCCTTTTTTTTTAAGATGCCTGTCTAGCAGTCATGGTCATGTACTCAAAACTGTAGCAAAGAACAACAGAAAGAAAAGACATAATACTATGATAATAATACATACATGTATTATCTCAGAGAGAGATTCTCAAATCAGAAAGAGTGCTGCTTTTGATTAATTCCTTCTCTGCCTAATGGAACGAGTGAAACGGCGCAGTAAGAGGAAGCAGAAATCGTGTCCATTCAGCAATAGGAATGGACTTGAACCAGATCCTGAACCCACCACAGAACCAAATCCTAACTGCTGGGAAATCAGGATCCAGAGCCAAACTGTACAGATAACGACACGCTCACAGGCCAGAGCAAAACCCATTAGAAATCAAGGAGTACTGGAGCATTATTGCACTAGTGGGAAAGCTGGCTGTAAATCCGGATTTCAGCAGAAGTTGCACATCTGGCTCTGGTTCAGGTGGTTCATCAACCCTGAGCGTGAATGCTGGAGTACAGGCACTGCGCACTGATTAATTTGATTTATTTCATATCTGTTAATTCCTTTGGAAACAGACTTTCTGTGATAAACATACTACTGAAGGCTCGCCATTTCTATCTTTAGGCAGCTGAAATGGGCTGAGATGAGGAGGCTCCGGATGAGTGTTGAAGTAATTAGAAATATATCGCAGTGATGAACTTTCTTCTTTCTACACAGAACCAAGTATATGATTACTTCTCCTGAGAAACATCCAGAAATGCCCATTTCTCCTCCAACTACAATGGTCCCCAATTGCAGTTGAGCATTCCAAGAAGTCTCACACATCACATCTGCTGTTACCAAATAAATGTTTTCCAATAATCCTACACTGATATTCTTACACACACCTCCCAGCAGCATGCATGTATTTAGCTGTCAGTTCTCACATGTCTGGAAGGACACACCTCCATTTTGTGTGTTTTAAACTGCATCAGAAGAAATAAAAGTGTCTGAGGAGTGTCAGTGAAATAATTATTTCTCTATATATCTTGGAGGACTTTGTATTTTTTAAAGATACCAGACCTAAACAGAGAGTGAAGGCAGCACAAGTTAATTGTTTGTAAAGGCAGCGTGTGTAACTGTTCTGGTTGCCCCAGAGAGTTGGGTCCCAGCATATGGCTCCCACATTAGAGAAAAGTTGGTTGCCATAACTCGTCATCTTCCTCACATAAATGTCCTGTTGCAAGCAAATGCAGAAGTGTGCCCTGCATATATTTCACAAAAAATAAATTTTAATAACTTGTTCTATCCTCCTGTTACACCTTCCTTCACCATTCTCTTCAGAATGGCTCTGACTGCCAGCACTCACTCTAATACTCACCTTTCTCACTCTGTCAGTCTCAAAGAAATACATCAGCCCGGGGAGAAACATAGATCTTGGAGGGAAGGTGCCTTGCTCTGCACTTTTGTCAAGTGAAAAATGTATGCTGTTTTCAACAATAAGTGTCCTAGGATCTAAGGAGACATAACACAAGGTAGTCCCCCAGAAGAATTTGCAAGGATGGCATCGTACCAGCTAAGGAGTTACTCTAGGAACTCCATAATCTATGGAACTACTCTCAGAATAGATGTGTGTGAACACACCCAACTAATCACATTTTGTTGAAGAGCGAGTTGTAGTTAAAAATAAGTGTGTTTTCCCTGCACAAGTCTAAATAGTTTATGCCCAGAAATAATGCTCTTATCTTAGCAACGCTGTATGAAGTTAGAGGACAAGACAAGGGCACTGCCAGTCAGAAGGCAAATAGAACTGCCTTACCTCAAGTGGCTGTTGCATATCAGACAGGTCACAAAGTCAGCATGCAAAGCACACTGTAGCACAAGTTTATGCTAGTCAGCAGTATGGATCTATTTCCAGTGGCAAATTATGGCAGATGTGATTTGTCCCCACAAAGTAACCCCACAAAGAACAATTTTGTGTTGCTACTACTTTTGTGACTGCTAAAGCAGACAAACCTGAAGTACTTGAGGTGAAATGCCCAAGTAGTAAGGGCACATTTTAGAAATTACTAGACAAATAATTAAATGTCAGTTCACCAGGCAGCTATGGACTTCTCTCCCTGTAGAAGCAAAGCAAGCTAACCACAGGCTGGTTGAATGTGATCTGAACCAATTCCTTTGCTAGCAGCAAAGGGCACATGTGCATGGCACTTTACAGGTGATGCTGAGCCACAGCTTTCAAGTTCTACAAAAGGGTGGTTATCTGAGATTGCACTCAGCACCACAGCAATGAAGTTGTCTGTTTTTCAGCTGTCTTGAAACGGAAACAGCAATAATTTTCTTCTGATGGCAGTTTAGATATATATGCATTTCTAGAGCTGTCTCCTCAGTGAGCCACCCACTGCAATCCATAGGCATATCCAATGTCCAACAGAGCAATACGGGAATAAGTATTCTTCTTTGTGGATTTGTAGCAGAGACAGACACCAGAGAAATGCTTCAGAGTACCACAGCACTGGCCGTGATCCTGCTTTTCTTAAGCACAGTTTACCTCATGAGCAGATTTTCCTACCTCTGCTTTGCGTTGCCTGGCTGTCATCTCCCAGATCATCTTCTCCACCATAGGTTCGAATCGGGGATCGGGCATAGGAATGCTTTTGGATAAGGCTCTCCACACTTTCTCTGTGAAAGGAAACAACATATTACATCAATAACATCCTAAACAGCTTCTTATCTGTTTCACAGGATAAACCAAGTCGTCAGCCTCTGTTTGGCAGCAGCAGTTTAACCCTTGGAATATGAAAATAATTAGTTGGGTTAAAAACAGTGAACATGCTGCCTTTTTCCTGCCCAAATCACACCTTTCTCACACAAGCTCTCCAAAGTAATTTACCAAAAAGGTTACCTCACAGCACGTTGCTGGAAACACCATACTTGGCCTGTGGTGTTTTAACATTGGTCATCACCTCTTAGTGCATGGTGCTGCTTCTTCAGCAGCCAAACTAGTGTAAATTTCTTGCTACAGTACCTGAGGAAGGTCTCAGACAGCAAATACAAGACCAGAACTCCTTACCAGTGTGACAATGCAAGCAATAAAACCTGTGCCCTGGAGCTGTTAATGCTCAGTGACCAGTCCACGTTCAGACACACGACTCAGTTCCTTTCAAACAAATTTTTGTGACACATGTAGCCACTTCATCTGGCATCCTCTGTTTTCCTGAAATTAGGGGCACGAGAATGATCTATCCAGAGACAGCTAACCTCTTAACATGTCCTCTCCACACCAGGGCTCAGGCCAATTTGCAGCAGGAAGTCTGCAGACACTACAGATCTCGTGCAGCATCTATTCTGGGAGGGTAGAAGTGTCTGCCAGGCTCATGCCTTGCCAATGGCACAACGCACTGAATTCACCCACACAATTTTTTAAATAGAAGGAAGGCATATCTGCCTGATAAGCCATAGCAGTCTGTAGGGAAGATCCAACCACATGCCCAGCGTGTTTCCGTGTAAGTAGGTGGCATTCTACCAAAGATGAATCTAACCTAGGCACATTTTCAAAACGTGTCTGACTTCTGTTCCCATTTAAGAAATTTAAGCAGTGACAGCTGCTTAAAACTGCAGCTCCATGAAGATTCTGTCAGGCTCACCGTTTGTGTGTTCGCATTTCTTAATGCCCTTTGCTATGAGAGAGTGGCTGTTGCAGAAATTCCAAGAAAAAACAGTTTCTAAGTAACAGGGTAAATCACAACGGCACATGTTTTCCTCTCCTGCAAAAAGCCCATTATAGTCATTTTGTCCTTGGTCTATCACTGGTATCATTACTTATGCTAGTCTCCTCGGAAAAAAATATAAATAAAGAGTGGATCTTATCAAAATGATTTACTTGTGTCAGGACTGGAAGGGGACTGAAAGCAATGGCAGTTCCTACATGGAGGATGATATAATTAAATTACTGCCTTTTAAGTGATTGAAAACAGTAGGCATATCGGGGCTATCTCAAAGAAGACTTTACAAAGAAAAAGACAGATGGTATTGTTTACATGATGTACCCAATGCCTCTTGAATTTTTTTTTTTTCAGTACAATGTGAAGTGCAACGAATTTTACTTAACTAAACAGACTATCTCAAATGAATGCAGAATTAACAAATAACAAATCAGACCAGTGTTTTCTAATTGATTTAGATACTGGTCTATATATTCAGAACCAAGTAATTACTAATCTCTAAAGGTCTGAAAAATAACTGTAATTCGGGTGATTGCCTGTATTGTCTCTATTGACTGCATTTCTAGTAAGGGTCTGCCTATAATGACAGGCATTCCCGCAATATTCGGATGCAAAGGAAAGACTACATACTCTAGTTGAAGTGCAGTGGGCCAAGTTCATCTCTAACCTCATTGGATCAGTTGGGGGACAAATTCACCCCCATAAATTTATGTTTGAATTACCTGCGGGGATTTAGAGTTAAATCAAATGCCCATGATTATTACAGACTAAATTTTTTCCAGATGGGTCTGTATGCAAGACAGAGTATTCTATTATTCTATACGGTTGTCTTCTTTTAAAGGAAAGAGATGACTTCTTAGTGAACCCTGTACCTGTAAAGTCTGAAAACAAAGAAGTATAAGGTTTGTTTGTTTATTTGTTTTTAATGTTGTAATGTTGCAGGTAATATGCTAAAATTTTAGAAGATTAATCTCACTTATTGGCACAAGAGGCCAGGTTTTTTTGGCAGAAGAAACGGTTTGAACATATTGGATAAGGGAAAGAAATTCACTTTGCAAAAGCAGTTCCTTTTGTGAATCTGGGACTTAAAGCTCAACATTTAATGCACTTATCTAGCCTAACTATGCTGGCGATTTAAGGTGTAACTTCATCACACCTCGTAATTTTTCATTTTGGATGTTGAAGCTTTGATTTATATCATGAGTGCATGAGATTCACACCAGGATTTAGATACCTGGCCCCCACAGCCTTCAAGTGGACGTTCTCCTTTTGCACACACACCTGCTGCATTTACAACTCTACACAGACCTAACAAAATACAAAACCATGAGCAGGAGAACACCTAGGCATGGAAAAGGAAACAAAGAGAAGCAAGAAGCGGTGCATTTTTTTCCACACATGGAGCTTATCTCTGAGTTCTCCAATCTAGCAAAACAAGAGCTGAAATCTGCACTCAGGTTTTCCCCATCTGGCACAAGTGACCTAACGACCAAATCAAGGGATAACCTTTGCTTCTCTGTGTGTTTCAAAGGAAAGAGGTGGTGACATTTGCACGAGGCTCAACTATTTCACGCTCAGAGACCACCACTCCGAGGTCAAGTCTTCCCAGAAGAGAAAATGGTTGGAACTCATCTAATCTGAGGAAACATGTAAAGTTTCCCACAGAGGTTGGAAAGAGAAGATGAAACTCTTCAACTCATTTGAAACAGAGGTACTACTTGCTCTGAAGCAGATGTGTAAGAGAAAGCTAAACTTATACAGCAGGTTTTAAGTGGCTGTGAAATCTTGTTTGGAATGGACACAGAAAAAGAATATGATGCCCTATAGAGAGGGCCAATAACATAAACATTCTTTCTGAAGTCTCAAAATGTAATTGTAATAATAATATGAAAAGACTCATTTATTTAAACCTATGGCTTTACAGTTTGCTATGCAACATCTTCATATATTGCTATCTTCCTGAAGAGGAAACTGATTTCCAGTTGTTCCACATTTTTTTTTACCTGGGCTATTCAATTTGTGATCTCTCATTATCTAATACTTAGATCTAACAATTTGCATCTTTTAATGCAACTTAAAATGCTACAGTTTCTTTTACGAGCAATAATCTTGACTTCTGAGGAACCAAAACCTATCAGCTGGATACCAGAAGGATGTGTTCTTTCTGTCAAACCCTTTTCTGTGACCTACCAACAATTTTCATTCTTCCAGAATTCTCCTCAACTCACAGTTCCTTCATGAATACTCTGAGGAGGTAATAAACAATACACAGGCATGATATATTACTGTGATTTTAGCTACATTACATGTGCAATTGGATAACAGCAGATGACGAGCTGGAGAAGAGCAAGTTAGGAGCTGAAGGTGAAGGAAAAAAAAAAAATGAAATGCCAAATGGAGAGGAAAAAAACAAGCACTTATTGGCTACCACACCCTCCAAGGAAATACTAAGGCATGATAAAAGTAAGAAGAGGTGATAAGGAAAAGGAGTTCAGGCTGATCCAGATGATCTGCTTTCTGACAGAAGCACACCTTGAGCCTGGTCCTTTCAACAAGCCCGTGCTGTTTAGAAACAAAGCAAGAAAGAAACCAGTGAGTCCTGGACCAGAAATCTAAGGAAGTAAAGGACTGGGAGAAATGATCAGTTTGCATGGTTGTAAGGTACATAGGCAGGATACTCAATGCCTTGTAAATACATGCCCAGTCTTTGCCTACATTTACTTAGCATTGCACTTTACCGAGCACTCTGAAAGGGTCAGAAGTGGAGACGAAGACCTTGAACTGCCTGGTGAATAATTCACTAACACTTCACACATTAAACCCAAGATCATGCCATGGTACTGGATACTGACAGAGACTGCAGGAAGCATACCTGGGGGACAGCTGAGAAGCAAGGGCCTCTGTAAGGGTGCTCGATCTCCAATGCTGTCAAATCCAGATCAAAGTAGTTCTCTCTGGAGCCCGTAAAGCCCAGATCACATTGAGCAGGATCTTTAATCAAGATGAAAGAACACTGCTTCTCTGTAGATGGAAGCAGGTGTTTATTTGGTGCTTTTTTAATATCATTTTTTTCTGTTGCTTTTACTGTTACTCTGTTTCAGCTGTGCATTCACAACAGCCTGCTAATTACCGTGACCCTGGTCCTGAGGTGTGTGATCATGAGCTCTGCTGTTACCAGTGAGGGCTCACTTGGCCACAGCGCCCCATAAACACAACACCCCCCATAAACACTTGCAACACGCGCCCGAAGCTATGGATTTTCCTCAGTTTGGCACAGAGAGCACCAAGGAGATGGAGACAGGAAGTCTACCTTTTCCTTTTGGGATGAGGAGGCTAAGGGCAATATATTTGGTTTTGGCAGAAGGTGCTAGAAAATCTAATCCAGAAGGAGTTTGCTGGAGCCAGGCCAGGGTCGGTATCCATCTTAAATCTATATCATGGATTCAGAGAGGATGGAGTTGATATAATATTCAGGTACCATTCCACCACAAGCCAGGTTCAAAACCTACTGAAAACAAAATGCAAAAGTGATAAAGAGCATGCAGTAGATCCAGGGACTCCAGACTCATATCCTCTTCAGAAGGCATTTTCTCAGTTATGTAGGGCAACAAATTTCAGAGCAGAGTACAGCAACCTGTTAGCATTTTCTCTATATGCCCTTACTATCCAAGTGATAGTGATAGTGATTTGCTTGATAGTGATCAAGCAAAATATAAGGATATCCTCAGAACCCACTCCCTATTCCTGCTGTCGTGGCTTTTGTCTTTTTCTTGAGGAGAAAAGCAATGCTAAAGAAAATCTTTAAAAAATGAAATAAGAAAACCTGACAACTATGTTTTACTTGGCCATTCCATTCAACGCAAAGAAAAATACAGAGCAGGATATAAAGTGTATGAATTATCAGTTTGCGGCCTGAATGACTTCTTTCGTTCTGCATTTCAAAGGTTTCCTTTTTTT